CTGGGATTTTTGGGCACGCACACACACAAGTGCTGGTGTGATTTTCAAGCCACTAGGTTCAGTCCGTGAATCACATTTGACCATGTGGGAGTAAAGTGTCTTCACCGCCATGTCACCGGCTGGTTCCCAGCATGAGTTTTTTTTTTTTTTTTTTTTAATATTCATTTAATTTTATTTATTCATTCATTTGCTTTAATATGACCAGGAAGAGACAGAGAGGGGCGGTGGGGAGGAGTGAGAAAGCAAGCCTCCAGGTCACGGGCCCCACCCTGCCAACCTCATCCAAGCCTAGATTCTCCCACCGTTCTGGGTACGATCAGATAAGACTCCATCCTCTCCACAGACAGACAGACACCGTGACAGTTCCTTGCCGGATGCCAGCAGATGATTTGCTAGGGGACACATTCAAACCATGGCAATTTGGTAAATGCAAAAAGAAAAATAGCAGTGTACCAAAATGAAATTAGTTCTGATAGCGGCGGGCTGAACGTCTGAGAACAGTTTAAATAATTGGGCATTATGGTTCTGGGGAAATAGGGAGTGGACTATTCTGTGAAGTGTTGGAACTTTGGGGAGGATAGAAGTAGACCACATTATTTTCTGACTTTAAGAAGCTAATTTCTGGGGCTGGCAGGTGCTATGGTGGGTAAGGGCGCTAGACTCGCACATGGCTGACTGTGATTCTAGTCCTGGATCTGGCGACTTGCTTTCTCACTTTCTCTTTCTAGTTCTGTCCCTCTCTGGTCAAAATTAAATAAATAAATAAAGTTCAATAAAATAACTCTTAAAAAAAAGGAACTAATTTCTTATTTGGATAGAGGAACTGGGAATCTAAAACAAAATGGGAGAACGTCAGCAAATAAAGGGGTCTATATTTCAGCCCAATCAAAGCGAAGGGGTGAAATGTATGATTCCTTGGAACTACCGAACGCACCCTTCCAATCTCCCGTTCCCCTCCTATCTCAGCGGTGTCCCCTGTAGCACATTTTCTATATTGCTAATATAGCAGCTTTTGGAGGTATCTTAATTGAATGTAGTCCGTCTTTTTATTAAACTGTATTCTTTTTTTTCTTAACTAATTATTTAATTTTATTCTTATTCTTATTTAATTGGGCTAGAGAGAGAAAGGGAAAGTGGGAAAGCAGCTTGCCAGGTCCAGGACTCAGACTGCGGTCCATGGGAGTCCAGTGCCTTACCCACCATGCTACCTACTGGCCCAAGCTCTGTACTCTTTACAGATACCGGGCTGTGTGTGCTCAGCGCTGGCTCATAGTGGTACAGAATCAGTGTACCCATCACAGGTCCAGTCCTGTGCCCTGGTGGCTAAGGCAGCCAGACCCCACACAGCCAACCAGGTGTTTTTTTTTTTGGAGAGGTTTTTGCTATAGGGCGTGTGCGCTCGCCAGAAAGAGAGAGAGACAGAAAGCGAGAAATCACTCCCCGGGGGGATGGCGACACCGCAATCCCTTCTCCTCCGTTCTCCTCTTAGGATCTTGGGCACGCACGCACATGTGTCCGGCATGAGTTTAAGCCACCAGGTCCGGGACACGAACTGCGGTTGACTACATGGTAGTTCAGCGACATAGCCATTACCCTAATTGCTGGCCCCCACCCCACCCCCAAACCACAGTTTTTAGATCTCAGCCCCAGCAGTTTGAGAAACAAGACTGGTTGCCTACCCTCCCTCCAATTTGAAGAGGTCAAGAGAAGTGCTTTGGATTAAAATCCTCAGGAGGGCTCAGATGATGGTGCAGCAGTAAAAAAATCACGAAGTTCTCCAAGGCAGTCCCACAAGAGGTTCCTGGTTCAAATCCAGAGACCTCCTGAGTGTGCTGGGTACATGCAGGTGAGAAGTAGCTCACTGGGTTGAGATTTTATAAATGCTGTTTATCTCTTTGACTCTCTCACTACACTTAAAGAGAAAAAAATCATCAGGAGAGAGCATATGAAAAAGGAGGGAGACCAGTAGGTGGCGTAGTGTTTAAGGAGCTGAACTCCTAAGTGGCAGATCACAGTTCGAGTCCTAGACCTGGCTGCTTGAAAGTCCCGCCAGGCACATGTGCGTGTATATCTGAAATCCCAAGAGGAGAATGGAGGAGAAGGGATTGTGGCGTGGTCATCCCGGGTGTGTGTGTGTGTGATTTTTTTGCTTTCTGTTTCCAGTGAGCACACACGCCCTATAGCAAAAATTGCTCCCTTCTCCCTCCCTCTCCCCCCAAAAAGAGAAAAGAAAATGAAAAAGGAGGAAAAAGCAAGGGAAGGTAACGTGTGGCCTTGCAAAGACGGCTGAGAAAGGAAGTTCCACAACAGGAAACTTTCTTTTCTTTTGTTTTTTTGAGAGTCAGCCATGTGGGATCCAGACACCTTCACCTCTCCACCACCTCCTGGAAAGACTTTTGACTGCTCAGAAGACCTATCTGTTTTCCTTTTCCAGGAAAACAGCACTAATATTATCTGAATCTTTTTGAAATTCCTTCCTTTCCCCTGCCTTCAGGCCTGTTAACAGAAGGTTTTTTACACAAGGTGACCTGGAGTTGGTAGCCCAGCAGGGGGGTTGACAGGCCCAAGACTGAGGCCCAGCAGCCCCCAGGCTAGCTAGGGGATTGAAGAAGAAGTCCACCTTTGTTCTTAAAATTTGCTTGGGGAATGACAGATCTGACATTAAACTTACAGAGAGCTAGTTATAGCCATAGCCATGTGGAGGGACCTCCAAAATACAGGTCAGGGTGATCAGAAAGTTCGGAAAACACCTTAGCAGGCACATAAAGTTCCATGAGTGGCCAAGACTGAAGGACAGGGAGCCTGTTTCATGGGGTTCTGCAACATTTAGGGCACAAAAAGTCATTTGTTTTGCAGACTGTGAAATGACCTTAAGATAACAGTATTCGTTTTGGAAAGCATTTAGGGGAGCCAGCAGGTAATGTGGTGGGTAAAGCGCTGGACTCCCACAAGGCTGACTGTGGTTTGAGTCCTGGAACCTGGCAGTTTTCTTTCACTTTCTCTCTGGTGAGTGCACGTGCCCTATAGCAAATTAAAATAATAATAAGATTAAGTAATAATTTAAAAAGAGAAAGTCTTTTATTTTGGAAAAGTATAGTACCAACAGAATTTTATTATTATTATTTGGAGAGGTTCTTGGTACAGGGCATTTGCACTCACCAGAGGAAGTGAGGATCACCCTCCAGGGTCATGCCATAATCCATTCTCTTCCTGGGACCTTGGGCAAGGACACAGACTGCCTAGCTTGAGTTTCTGGTTGCCAGTGGGGACTGGATCAGGGACTCAAACTGTGGTGGGGCATGTGGGAGGGAGTTCAGTGCCTCAACCACCAAGCCACTTGCCCACCCTAGGAAAGGACTTTTTTAAAAGGCATTTTTATTTTGATTACTGAAAGCTCCCAATAGCGTGCCCGGTTCTAAGCCAGGTTAATGTTATTAATATAGCCCTCCGTGCATTTTGATCGTTACTAATCATTACTCAGAGGAGTCTGAGCTGCCCAGGGAGGCCATCCGTTACGAGGAAGTGGCCAAGGTGCGACTTGAATCCACATCTGGCACCTCATTTCTGCGACTTTTCTAGACACCATGCTCATCTCTTCACACACGGTTGCTCAAAAAATCTAACAGTTGCACTCCCAGAATAATGCAACCTTAGAAGGAAACAGACCCTAGCCATGGGAAGGCTAAACTGTACAGGCATGAACCCGAGGGAATGCCACTTGGCTAGCCTGGGAGATCGTCTGAAACATGGCTTCCCTAAACCCACGGATTAGAAAGGAGGAAATTAACAATGCAGAATGGCGACGTGAGACTTGACGAAGTTGGGAGTTAGGCGACGGCCCGAAGAGCTGCCCCAAGGCCTGCCCCTTCACTGACTCCGGCGATCAAAGCAGGTAAGAGGCAGGCTCCGGCCCTTGCTGTTCCAGATGCTTCCTCAGTTTCCTGTCTGTGTGGCCCGGTCTCCATGTTCCACTCGTTGTCCCCGAAGCGTTTCGGCCTCGCTTACGGGATCCCAGGCTGCACCCGTGGCGTGGAGCTCTCGCGCCTTCTTGCAGACGGCGGTCGGTCTGCAGGAGGTGGCAGCCGGGCTGCACTGCGGGCCACCAGCGACGATCTCGCGGATTCCGGAGCCGAGGCGCGATCGCGATCGCGACCGCGGGCCGGGCAGGG